CTGTCATTTCAGCTCCTCTTCCTCCCTGCTGAGTCTTCTTGAGGGAGTCTAACTCTCAGACATCACCTTCTTTTACCCTGTTTTATCCTCCCTTCTTTGTCTCATCACAGCTTTTATCCTTATTACTTCTGCCATGTTTCCCTTTCATCTCCACTCTCATTGTTCTGCCGCCGCTCATCCTCTGCTTCCTTTCTCTCCTCTTCGGGATTGTCCTGAAAGTGTCAAAAATGCCGTTTTAATCACGCCTCTTGTGTTCAGAGTGCCGCTCTGACAGCCTCTCTGTGTGTGTGTGTGTGTGTGTGTGTGTGTGTGTGTGTGTCTGTTTTTGCAGAGGCTCCATGCACAGAGAGAGGCGTAAGTTTCTCCGATCGGCTCTGAAGGAGCTGGCGACTGTTTTAGCCGACCAGCCTGGACTTCTAGGCCCAAAGGTAGCATCACATACCTGATAGTTCAGTTGACTCTGTTTGATTGGGGAACAAAGTTGTCACATTTTCAGCTGCTGTGGTTCTCTTTCCCAGTGCACTGTTTTTACATAATTTAAAAACATTCGGTGCCAATGTGATTTTTAGCACCGAAGACATCGGTGGCTTATAGAGCCAATGTTAACTCTAACAATCACATTTAGTTGCTCGTTTCTTCAGTTTTTAAGGTTAGGGTTACATCAACATGTGAAAAGCTCAGGCCTTTCCGTTGGGCTCAGCATCAGTAGAGTGAAGGGCAGATCTGTTTAACTTTTGGATTATCAGATTAATAATTGGATTGGATTTAAATCAGTTGGTAAGCATTTCAGATATTTAAAACAAAAACAAATCAATAATTATTGATATTGGCCGATATGAATCGCTTATATCGTGATGTGTTTTTCAGCCGGATACACTCAGACTCCCTTGTTTTGCTTGGTTAATATTTTTTTGGAGTATTTTCTGATGGGTTCCTGTTCCCTCCCTGAGTCTCTGTGGTCTGGATCCTCTAGGCGTTATTCGTGTTCATGGCACTGTCGTTCGCCCGAGATGAAATCATCTGGCTGCTACGACACGCAGACAACATCCAGAAAAAAAGCACTGACGATTTCATAGACAAGTATGCACACCGATTAACCATACACACACACCCACACACCTACATGCACACACACACGCACGCACATACAGTTTACTCTCTGTACAGCTGGTTAGCTGCTGTTTTTCTTCCAAGCCTGATGAGTTTCGGTATATTTTTCAGACACATTGCAGAGCTGATCTTCTACATGGAGGAGCTCAGAGCTCACGTCAGGAAGTATGGCCCTGTGATGCAGCGATACTACGTCCAGTACCTGTCTGGGTTCGACGCTGTGGTTCTCAATGAGATGGTGCAGGTAGGGAGAAAATGTTGGCTGATAACTAGCTGCTTCCTTATATTCACATGTTTAGCAGTCAGTCAGTGTTTTCTGGTAAATATTTGTTCTTACTTCACTTCTCTGTCTGGGTTTTATTAAACAGAACCTGTCTGTTTGTCCAGAGGATGAATCTATAATCATGTCTTCATTTGTTAACACCATGACCTCTCTGAGCGTCAAACAAGGTAAGATAGTGAAGTCATCTAATTGAATGTGAGCTTATTAGAGTCATATTTGATGTACCACCAACACTAGAGATGAGCAACATAAATATAAGTTATCATGATAAATTGATATATTACATTTACAATAAAACTGACAAAAGGTCTTTGGAATTCATTGCTATCTTTTATTGGGAACAGATTTTGTTGTTAGGGCTGTATGATGTTCATTTACAAAAGGTCCCACAAGCACAAAAAACCTCTCTCAAAATTAAGACTTGCACATTACCAAACAGGCTAGTTCAGTTTGTTTTGTATTAAGTGGATAATAGCATCCATCTCTCCGCATTCAAGGAAATTCACACAAAATCAACAGCTCCTTGCATTTGTTTTACGCTAATGCATAATTGTGAATTGATTACAAATTTTCTGCAAAAATAGTCAAAAACATTGGGTTTAATTTAAGTGATGCTAACTCCCACCTGCAGGTGGTGGTATTTCTACCTTCTACTACAACGCTGCCTTAGTCATGTTGTCTACACTGTAGACTCAACAGCTCATTTTTTTGCAACATGTTAGTCCAAGTCACTTCAGCTGGAGGCAAGAAGGAATTCAAGATATCAACACAGACTCTGTCATTCATTTGGCTCACACACTGAGAGAAATGAAGTGGCTGCTGCAGCTCATTATTATGAGTGAAGATGCAGGAAACCATTCAGAAACAACCACTATTGATTAACTGAACAACTTAACTATCACCAGCAGATGTTTGGTATGAAGAGGAATTAAACAATAAAACATCTTCTGAACCACGAAACTTTATGTTCACATAACACCATCTTCCACCTCGATTGGCTCGTTGCCTGAGCTATCTGTTGTCAAAACTGCTGTGCGGTTCTTCCTTCCTATAAAGCCAAGATTCCATTTGTCTTAATGTGTTTTCAATGAGATTTATTTTATTGTTGTTAGTTTTTTGTTGGCCGATTAGCAATTTTGTCTCCTGTCATTCATGACTCACCCATTTGTTCTTTTTTTTTATTTCCTTATCTGATGTTTGGTTGGAACCATAAGATAATCGAGGTCTGTGCTTTCATTTGCCACATCATCTTTGAAATGTTTTAAAAGATTTTCGAGTCGCTTAAATTAGTTTTAAATTGTCTTTTGTACATGAAAACAATGAAAAATCTCCTCTATAAACTAAGTCTGGTGGGGTTTTTTAGATGACAATTTCTACAACTGTGAAACAGAGCTCAGCTTTTAAAGGGATGGTGGATCTATTTTTGAGTAAATAACCATTTGTTGCCTTCCAGTGGAAGATGGAGACGTGTTTGACTTCAGGGGGATGAGACTGGACTGGTTCAGACTGCAGGTAAAAACAACCCAGAAAAGACTTTTCTACTTTGGGTTTGGGATTTGTTTCTGTTTGCTTTCCTGGGCCTTCTACACACTTTGTTTTATTCACTTCCTGTCTCTCTCCCCTCCCAGGCGTACACCAGTGTTTCTAAAGCTAGCCTTGGTATAGCCGACCACAAGGAGCTCGGCAAGATGATGAACACCATCATCTTCCACACCAAGATGGTCGACTCTCTGGTGGAGATGCTGGTGGAGACATCAGACTTATCCATCTTCTGGTGAGACACCAAACCTGACAAAAAGTTCTTTTGATGATTAAAAATATTTTACTTATAACCATCCCTTACTTTTAAAAAAAAAATTATTATTATGTGTGCAGTTTCTACAGCCGTGCATTTGAAAAAATGTTCCAGCAGTGCTTGGAGCTTCCCTCTCAAAGCCGCCACTCCATCTGCTTCCCTCTGCTTTGCGCACACTTCATGTCCTGCACACACGAACTCTGTCCTGAAGAGGTGAGAGAGCTGACAACCTGGGGTTTATTGGTGAAAATGTTTAAAAATGATCATTTTATGAGAGCTGCATCCAAACCTTAGAGTTTTAATTGTAGAAATTAGGCATACACCAATCCACTTTTTTCTCTTCTAGTACCACTAACGGTTTAGTATCAGCTGATACCAGTCTGGTATAGAAAAACAACTGAATTGAATTAAAACACAGATATAAATGAACTGAATTACACATTTATTTGACAACTCTGCTTCAGTACAGAACACCTAAATACACCAACAGCTTCACAAGCTTGGTCAAACATGTAAAATCGATTTTAATTTGTTTAGTCAGAGCAATTAGGAGTATAACAGCAATGTAAAATAAATAATAAAGCATGATGTTTCTCAGAGCACACAACATAGAATTAGACTGAATAGATCTGTCCTTATGGAGCGGACACATTGTATCAGATAAATGACCTAGAAGTTTTATAAATATCAGGAGTGATACAGATATTAATATTGGTTAGGTTCTTGTCTAGTAAAAACAGTTGGAAACAATTCACCTCAGCATGAGGTAGCATGAGCTACTTTGTTTTGTTTTACCACATAAAATGAGAATATTGTTTTTGTAATGAGAAAAAAATTGATAAAAAGGCATAGCAGGGATGCATACCTTTGCATAGTAGAAATCAACCTGCTTTTCCATGAACTTCAGGTAAGAGTTTGTCAATTTTTTCCAGCGTCACCACATAGGGGACCGAAGCCTGTCGTTGTGCAACATGTTCCTGGATGAGATGGCCAAGCAGGCCAGAAACCTGATCACCGACATCTGCACAGAGCAGTGTACGCTCAGCGACCAGGTGGGAACACTTCAGCCACTGCGGAAACACTTCTGTTTGCCATCTCTCCCAGAGAGCGATAAGATCAGTGTCTAACACAGCGTCTAATAATTTACCCTGCAGCGGTTTATGGACCTGAAAGAGGAAGCTGTTGCTCTCGGTGCAATTTAATGGTTCCAAAATTAGGAAACAGAGTTGATTATTAAACCCTGATTGACTCATTTGGGCCAAATAACCAGATCTGACAGATGCAGTTTTTCAATATAAATGATAGCAAAGCTACCATTTGCAGAAAAAGGTTCTTTTGTGTTTGTTTATCAAGTGTCTTCAATCATGATGACTTACCATTTTTTTCTGTTTTTTAGAAACTTCACAGCAGAAAAGTATAGACAGGAAATGTCAGAGCTAAGCTTCCCTTTATGTAGTGAAGCTTGCTAGTTTTACTTTTTTTGTTTTTTCTGTATTTAGCAGAAATACAGAAAGGGGTTAGGGCTAGTTAGCATTAGCATGACTAATGTTTATGATTAGCTTTTTAGGATTAGTGCAACTAACATTTTAGCTAGCAGTGCCCACTGATAGATAGCAAAGCAGGTGATTGTATTTCTCAACATTTTAAAGTGAGGATTGTCTGAATTTCTAACGTCTGTCAGTTTTAATCAGGCCTGCTTGGCCTTCCGGTTCTGAAGCAGATGGTGCATTAATATTGAAGTGGCAACATTTCAAGCATAGCACCAGTAATGTCTTGTCTGATTTTTGACTCTTTGTTCCTTTTCTTCTGTCAGCTGCTGCCCAAACACTGTGCTAAAACCATCAGCCAGGCTGTGAACAAGAAGAGCAAGAAGGCAACAGGAAAGAAGGGGGAGCCAGAGAGGGAAAAACCTGGAGTGGAGAGCATGAGGAAGAACCGGCTAATGGTCACCAAGTCAGTACCAAAACCAGCTACTATTCATCTACCGAACTGTCTTGCTTTTTATGTTATTTACAGTCCAGTTTTTTTATTATGTCACGCTTTGGCCAATAACCCTTAATTTGACTTTAATATAATCAATAATGATTGTTTTTGACTTCCTGCTTTTCTTTATTTTTCCAGTCTGGATAAACTCCATACAGCTCTATCAGAGCTCTGCTTCTCCATCAACTACGTCCCCAACCTGGTGGTGTGGGAGCACACGTTCACACCCAGAGAGTACCTCACCTCGCACCTGGAGATCCGATTCACAAAGTAAAACTGCTACACACGTACACGTACACGCACTCACACAAACACAAACAAACCGTAAAGAAGTTGTTACTTTTGTCCAGTTTAGAGTTTCTGAGCCTGCAGCCTGTTTACAAAGTCTAAATACAGTCAAGAAAAGCAACTTTATGTGGTTTTAAGTTTAATTGCAACCTTAGATGGGTTAAAACTGAACCTAAATGTTGATATTAAAGCAAAATGTTGACATTCCTGTGTGTGAACACTGTTGCTGCCAATACATCTGGGAGAGCTTATAAGGTTACTTCCAAACCCCCAAAAAGTCCACCATTCAGACTTAGAGGGTTTTTACAACTGGAAAATATTTGAGATGGATGAAATTTTTGCTGCCGACTTAAAATAATAATAAAAATAAGTTTAATAAAAATAAGTTGTAATAATAATATACATAATTAGGATGAAACTTTAGTTTTATAAAAATCAATTTCTACAAAAACAGGAACATAATTAAATGAATACAAAAATAATTGAATTATTTATTAAATGGACCAAGAAATACATAAACTGTTAATCACTTCATGATTCCTATTGCTGCAGGAGTCTTGCATGTCTAGGGGCGGGGCTAACGCTGATCTGTTGAACTCAAATATGTCATGGCTGCCATGATTTTCACTTTGCCTTTTAAATAAATATTTAAATATTTAATTAAACAGGTATTTATTTCATGTTGCATTAGATTAATGATTTAATGATGTATCTATTTGTCACTTTTAACCCTACATATAAGTTTAATAAGACTTCAGTGAAAATGTTTAGTTATGATGTTTAGTGCTTGGAAAAATTCAGTAAATTGTAAAAACATGAATTTCTCCTTGATTAATAAAGAAGTGTGAATGATTGCTTTTTATATCGCTTGAAAGAAAGAGAAAACAGAATAAACTTTGCAATAAAGCATCATTTTGACCTCTAACCAATCCACTTGTCTGTTCTGCTTGCAGGTCTATAGTTGGGATGACCATGTACAACCAGGCCACTCAGGAGATCGCCAAGCCCAGCGAGCTGCTGACCAGCGTCCGGGCTTACATGACGGTGCTGCAGTCCATAGAGAATTACGTCACCATCGACATCACCCGAGTTTTCAACAATGTCCTCTTGCAGCAAACGCAGCACCTGGACAGTCATGGGGAGCCCACCATCACCAGCTTATACACAAACTGGTGTGTTGGATTATAGATCAGAGTCAGTTTAGCAACCTTAAGTCATCAACATGTCAACTCCCACCTCCATCAGGATCCCAAACTTTAAAAGTGGACATGTCATGGTTTTAAATCCCTCCTTTTCACATGTAAATCATTCTTTTATGGTCTATATAAAGTAGAACTGCAATGCCTTGGTCTGAAATCTGAAGGCCCTCATTCACCTGTTCTGAGGTGAATTTTAGAGCAACTCGTTTTGCTGTGGTCTTTATTAATGTGAATGAGACCTTTCACGTTCTCCAGGTCGAACGTGACATTTGATGGAGTTTTAGGGCCGTGCTAAGAAAATGTGAAAAAATTAAATTCCAAGAATAAAATCAAAGTATTACGAGTACAACTTCATTCTTATTAGTTGTAATATTATGACTTTATTCTTGTTATTTTGACTTTGTTCACACATTTTTATAACTTTAATCTTGTTTTATTACGACCCAATTATCGTATTTTTAATACTATCATATTTTTCTGGCTTTATTTTAGTACGACATCATGCTCTTAATATTGTAACTTTGTTTTCTTAATTTTATTTATTTATTTATTTATTTTTTGTATGGCCCTGTATGCCATCATAGTAAATAAACATAGCTTTATGCTTTATTATTATTCTGTTTAAGTGAAGCGAGAACTGAACTTCTGTTCTGCGTCCATGCAGGTACTTGGAAACTTTGCTCCGTCAGGTCAGTAACGGACACATCGCCTACTTCCCCGCCATGAAGGCCTTCGTCAACCTGCCTACCGAGAACGAACTGACGTTCAATGCCGAGGAATACTCTGACATCTCTGGTACCCTCTTGCTTTCCATCTAACATCTGGCTGTTTGTGTTCTTCATGTGTTCATACGTAGAGAAGAGGGTAAGCATGAATGGGAATGAACTCGTATGTTTTTTTTACTGTGTTGTTCAGAGATGCGTTCTCTCTCGGAGTTGTTGGGGCCGTACGGGATGAAGTTTCTCAGCGAGAGTCTGATGTGGCACATCTCATCACAGGTTGCCGAGTTAAAGGTAATACAAATCACAGAAGCTACTTTTCAAGATTGAAATGTATTTGTTTCAGACATTCATCAGTTTTAAACCCACATTATGTCTCTGAATGTTAAATGTAAAACACTGTGAGGTATCCCATGCAGGTTACTTTGAACTTTAAGAAGTTGCCATTTCCTACTCTATATAACGAATGATGATCGGTTGAGTTGAGGAATTACCTTGTTAAGCTTATTTTGTACTCAATACTGACCAACCCTAAGCAGCTTTAAATAGTCTCTTCTTTAAAATCCATGCCACTTATTTCCTTCCTTCAGTTACTTTTTTAACTGGATATGTCATGTTTTTAAAACCTTCTTTTTCACATTTAAATCATTAATTTATGATTTTATAAGGTGGAACAAAATCCAATCATTTAAAAATGTTTTGATCCAGTACATCCTTACATAAGCTGTTGTTATTCTGTCTCTCTTATCTTGTTTGTAGAAACTGGTGGTGGAAAACATGGAGGTGTTGACCCAGATGAGAACGAGCTTTGACAAACCGGACCACATGGCTGCACTGTTCAAGAAACTCACTTGTAAGCACAGACATATGGACATGTTAACCTCACAGTTAGAGCTCCAAGATGATTGCTGGGGTTTCCACTCATCGTACTTACTAAAGAAATGTTAGATTTCTTTAGTAATATGAACAACGATGTTCATATTTGAACACCGCTGTTGTTGTTGGTTGTTGATTTGCTAAACACCTACTTTACTGATGATCTGTTATAGAGTTTGATGTGTAGGTCTCCTTTTTTAATTGAATCAAAACACCAAATTCCACAGCACAATCTACATGTTAAGGTTGTCAAAGTCAAGCTAGCATAAATAACCTGCTTCCCTCCCCCTTGCAATTTTTTTTTTAACTAAAACTTTTCACTGACCTGTGAATGTTATCACAGACCTTGTTATCGAGTTGTGCTAGTGTTGACAATTAGAAGCAAAGCATCCATTGTTCTTTACATATCATTTAAGACTTTGTGCTAAAGTTAAAACCAATGGTAGTTATCGTCAGTGAGCAGTATTTTGCCCATCATCTTGATTCTTACCAGATTAAATCATCCGATGTCTTGTTTCTAGATATTTGTACTTTGAATCTTTGAAATGCATCATCGAGTAACATTTGCTTCACCTCTTTAGTGTGTTCACGTTCAGTGATTTTTATGTTCTGTAGCTGTGGACAGCGTTCTGAAGAGGATGACCATCATTGGTGTAATTTTATCCTTCCGCTCTCTTGCACAGGAAGCTTTGAGAGATGTAAGACTCACATACACATACGCACGCCACGCGCGTGCACACACACACATGCACGCACACACACACACACATGCACGCACACACACACACACACACACACACACACACACACATACCTTTAGAACCACGGCGTCGATGTGAGACGAATACAGATAGATCTTTCCTCCTTTCAGGTGTTGTCTTGCCACATTCCTTTCCTGGTCAGTTCGGTGGAGGATTTCAAGGACCACATCCCCCGAGAGACTGACATGAAGGTTGAACACATTCACACTCAAAGTAACACCATCATGTCTTCCTCCTCTCATGCTGATGTGAGTTAATGTTTCCTGTCACCAGGTGGCCATGAATGTCTACGAGCTGTCCTCTGCTGCCGGTTTACCCTGCGAGATTGACCCAGCCCTGGTGGTGGCGCTGTCCTCCCAGAAGAGCGGTAAGTTGGAAACACACTCGACATGTCAGCACAAGCTCAGCCTGTTTTCTAACAACATGGTTTGGTTGATGCTGGGCAGAGAACATCAGTCCAGAGGAGGAGTATAAAATCGCATGTCTGCTGATGGTGTTTGTGGCCGTTTCCTTGCCGACCCTTGCCAGCAACGTGATGTCACAGTACAGCCCTGCCATCGAAGGTGAGTCACTGAGTTGTTAGGTTGCTTGTGACCATTTTTTCAACAGAAAGGAGTTGAGATTATATAAATAAAAAAACATAAAAGCAGTGGACCCAGTATTCTACCCTACGGGACTCCCATGGACCATAACATACAACTGATCGTGCTTCCATATTTCACAACCTGAAATCTATCAGTTAAATAGGAAGAAATTGTCTAATGCAGAAAATAAATGAGATATAGTGTTTTCAAACTAGCATGGACCACACATTTCAGATAAAAAAGATGCCTTCCCTCTGAGCTGGAGGTTTAAACTTTGAAATTTCTCTAACTTCTATGCCTCTGGTGGTGCAGACCCACCAGAGGTCTGCACCACCAGACCAGTGTCGTAACATGTTCTAGCGGAGGGGTGCCCAAAGTCGGTCCTCGAGGGCCGGCATCTTGCATGTTTTATTTCTCTCCCTGGTGGTAGGAACAACCATTTCAGTATGTCAGTGTTCTTCTTAGGCCTCTAATGACCCATCCTTTGATCCAGGTGCGTTAAACCAGGGAGAGAACTAAAACATGCAGGATGCCGGCCCTCCAGGACAGTCTTTGGACACCTCTGATGTAGCGAATGTAACATTCACAACATGTAGCGAATGTTCTGAATGTTACATTCGCTACATCAGAACATATGCAGCAAATATGTTTCCATCTCCACTTTACCTCATTAACTGTTTTTCGCAAAGCCAAAAACTAACTCAGCCGAGTGTAACATCTTTTATGGAAAATTAAGGAAGTTATTTTGAATTCTGCAATGTCCATCAACCGTTTCTAATGCGATACTGCAAAATGCACATGAAAAACCGTGTAATTCTTTTTAAGATGTGAAAAAAATCAAACTATTTTAAGTTTAACGGGCTCGACGTTGAATTTTCATTGTCTTTCAAATAGTTGATATTTTTAAGATCCAAATTACTCACATTTACGCTAAAAATGTCAAATTTTTCCATTACCAGTATATTATTTCGAGACTGTGAATGTTTTTCCCTCCCGCTTACTTTTGAGATTTTTTTAAATGCCAATTACAAAAATAAGTAATAATAAACTTTACAGTTCACGGCAGTTTACAGCCTAAAAGCAGTAATGAGCAGCATTTACCATAATCTCGGCATTTAACACTTTTAATGGCAAATAAGACTCACCATCTTTTAAATGCCTTTTTCCCCCAATTAGCTTGTTTATTCAGTTTGATATATTAAATCTTGTGCATTTCAATAAAAGCACCAATGAAGTGAAAGTCAACTGAACATTTTCCCCAGTCCAGTCCTTCTGTTGTAGCTAAATGAGGCTTTTGATAAGCTATCAAAGACATTTGTCACTCAGAGGATGAATTATGAAGACGTCGCCTCCTAACAACCTTGAAATGAAAGGCTGGCCTGTTAATAAGGGCCTTCTAAAGAGGATAATAAGTTATCAGAGGCTCGGCTCTGGTTGGTATGCAGACCGCGTCTCGACCAACAATTGGTTTCGCCGCCACCATTTCTTTGTACACAGCCTCATTACCGCTGTGTTAACCATCCTGCGAGTTCACAATTCCACCCTGGCGATTCCCATTTCACATTTATCTGTTATCTCCATTAAACATACATAAAAATCCATAGTTTTTAATCTGCTCTGTCAGTTCCACATGAAGCTTTTGTCAGGTCTGGAAGTCAAACTCTTGAGCTGTTTTGATGGATTTCAATTTTTTTTAAAAATAAAAGAAAACTCCTGGTAACACTTTGTATTTGCTGCCCCCTACAGGCCACTGCAACAACATCCACTGTTTGGCCAAAGCCATTAATCAGATCGCTGCGGCTCTCTTCACCATCCACAAGGGAAGCATAGAGGACCGTTTGAAGGAGTTCCTGGCTGTAAGACAGAGAAATTATTTGATTTTAGTTTTAATGCTGTCTTTTAGGCTGGAAAAAGGATTTAAAAAATAGTATTTGTGTTGATTTATTTTTAGCAGATCTCTGTTGCAAATGTTTCATGAAGCTACAAAAAAATGTGTGTTTGTGTCTATATGTGCAGCTGGCCTCGTCCAGCCTCCTGAAGATCGGCCAGGAGACGGACAAGATGACCACACGAAACAGAGAGTCTGTCTACCTGCTGCTGGACATGGTGAGGGGACGCTGAAGACAGGAGACTGGACAGACGGGCTCCTTCATTTTAGGCTGCTAGTGAATTATTTTAACTGCTCTTTTTGCACTGGGAAATGATTATATTTAAAATTTTATTTAAACAAGAATTATTTGCAATTTTGAAGTGGATTTTTTCTAATTGGCACAAAGTTAAACATACAGTCTAAAACATGTATGTGTATTTAATGTGGTGTTTAAAAATTCTAGAAAATTTGAACTTAAAATGAGCTGCATAGATCATTAAAAGAAGCTGAATTTTATATCTTGTTAAAATAAGAAACTTTTCTTATATCAAGATATAAAAATATTACGACTTCTTAAAAATTCGAAATGACGACAAGGAGCCTCCTTCTTGTCACTCTGTTTTGTCTAGACAACACTCAAAATATTCCAGAAATGTTGCTGTTTGACTGCTACATCAAATAGCAACATCTTCTTGTTTCTTATTTAAACAAGAAAAGATTTGGATTTTAACAAGAGAATAAATATCATTGTAAAAAAGAGTTTTCTCAATTTAACAAGTTTGGTTTCTCATTTTAACAAAAAACTGCTTCTGAATTTATGACCAACAGTTGATGGTAGTTTATCTTTTAGAAAAAGTATCTGGAATACTTTTACCACCCGTTAAACTGTTTGGTCAAAATGATAAGAAATGTTTGAGAAAAGTAAAAGTGAGATGTTCAAACCTAGGAAAACTGTAAAGTCTGACAATAAAATAATTGATTTAAATGAACTTGACCAACTGTGGAATCATGCAACCAATTCCTGTTTTTAAATAAACGTCAAAGGCCTTAAATAAATCATTAAAACATGTTTATATATATATATATATATATATATATATATATATATATATATATATATATATATAAGAGATTCATTGTGGGTGAGACACTCACATTTGTATAAGTGTGCG